ATGAACAAATTCCTATGCACACTGCACATATCTTATTTTGAAGTAAAAAAACAAAACGGGAACAAATACAATATTTGTATTTGCATGTGGCCCGCGGGCTGTAGTTTGAGGACCCCTGATTCAACCCATGTTTATTGCAGCATTATTCATACTGGCTAAGACAAGGAAACAATAGAATTGTCCTTCAATAGATAATTGGATGAAGATGTGGTACATATATACAATGGAATACTACTCAGCCATAAGAAAAGATAAAATACTGCCATTTTTGACAATCTGGATGGATCTTTAGAATAGCATGCTAAGCAAAATAAGTCCAATGGAAAAAGTTAAAACCATATGATTTCACTCATATGAGGAATATAAAACTGAAACCAACAAATGAACAAACAAAAACTCCTAGACATAGGCAACAGTATGGTGGTTACTGGAGGAAAAGCAGTGTGAGAGGGAGATCGTAAAGGATAAAGGATATTAAATATATGCTTGAAGGAATGAGCTTTTACTTTGAGTTGTAAACACATCATGCAATATAAAGATGATGTATCATAGAATTGTAAACTTGAAACCTATATAATTTGATTAATCTATGTTATCCCAATAAATTTAATAAAATTTTTTAAAAGATCCATTCCTAGTCTGTAAAATTTTTAAAAAAGATTACATATTTTGAAAGTACAAGAAAATATATAAGATGAATATACATGCTAATCATGTCCAGAAACTTTTCTTTAAATGTGAGCCAACAGTAACTTGCACTTGAATGGGACTTTTAACATCTGCTTGCAGAGCCAAAAGAGAAAATACAGAATTTGAGAGATCATCAGGCAGTTACAAAACCTCCCGCACCAAGACCATGATCAGGAAAGCTGGAGTCATCTGACTTGCTCCTCCAGAGATTGCATGGGAAACTCAATTTAGGCTAAGGTATTGACTCAAAAGTAGTATAAATATTTAGACAGTTCAGATACTCCTTCCAGGAGAACCACAAGAATCTAGGGCTAATACTGCCTAGATAAAAAATGAATGCTTGCCTAATTTGCAGTAAAGACCCAGGCTGTCTTATCAGCAAAATTCCTATAGAGTGTCCCATAAATTGAGTATCACACATTAGACTTTATAATTACCAACCAAAGTAGAGATGATGTGTTACAGATGAAAACACATGTCCCTCACAGTTCCAGGAAGGCCCAGTACTGGCAACAGAGAGTAAAAGGAAATGTCATTAATTCTGCAGGGGTTTTGGTCCGTAACAAAGATATCATTTATCTATTCAAACTCAAGGCTAACACAGGCCAAATAAACGAGGCATGTGGCCTGCGGGCCGCACGTTTGACATGCTTGAAGAGGATAAAGTCCTTCAGATCCAAAGGGGAGGCAGGGAAGGGCCTGCCATCTATAGAAGAAAACAAGTCCTAGAGGCACAGTATATCAACCACAGTTTGACTCAAGATGATGTCTATATCCACTCAGTGCTGATACTTCCTTTTGTGGGCACACAAGTTGGGTGGTGGGGAGGGTAGTCAAGTATGGATGTAAGTTTTCACCTCTTATGGAAAAGAATGAATCTATTGGGAGCTAAATTATACATTTGGAATTAAAATTAAGCATAAAAAAGGGGGGGTGCTTTTTATCTTCTAAAAACCTTCCAGTACTTTCTGGTTTTTGTAGCGTGAGGAAACATGAGCAACAAAATCTCTGATGACACGCTCTATGAGGCACTACGGGAAGTCCTGCCTGGTAACTAGGGCAAGTTTTTGGAGCTACAGATCAGCTTGAAGGACTGTGACGCTCAAAAGGACAAACACGTTTTGAGCACCATCTGGCGTAAATCTACAAATCTACTCTCTGCCCCAAGTTCTCCATATGTGTTCTGGGCGTTCTAGCAACACTGTGACCTGAGGCCAAGGCCGTGGATATCCTCCACATGGACATCAGGGACTGAAGGAACTTAACAAGAATAAGAAACTGGTCAAGAAGCTGGCCAAGAAATAGGATGCCTTTTTAGCTTTAGAGTCTCTGATCAAGCAGATCCCAGGCATCCTGGACGCAGGCCTGAATAAAGCTGGCAAATTCCCTTCCTTGCTGATCCACAAAGCGAGCATGGTGTCCAAAGTCTATGAAGTGAAATCCACAAGCAAGTTCCAGATGAAGACTGTGCCCTGTCTGGCAGTGGCTGCTGGCCACTTGAAGATGACAGATAATGAGCTTGTATACAACATCCACATAACTTTCAATTTCCTGGTGTCATTGCTCAAAAAGAACTGGCAGGATGTATGGGTTTTATACATCAAGAGCACAATGGGCAAGCTCCAGTGCCTATGAAAAGGCACAGATTAATAAATAAACCATATTTATGCTAAAAAAATAAAAAAAATAAATCACCAAATAAAAGCATTCAAATTCCACACCCCTTAACTAGGGTAGAGTTGGAATAATTGTGTATAAATTACAAATAGCTGAAAACAAATCCTATCAAAATCCTCTTCATAGATACTGGCATAGTTGACAAATAGGACAGATTTTGTAGGTCTTTGTCATAATATCATTAGTATAATGCTTTTAAGCATAAGTCCACCAACCAATGGTAGAAATGATGAGTACCTGAACAGATTCACTACAGACACTTTTCTTTAAATGAGAATGCTCTCTGTTTGAGAGTATAGGAGAGATAAAGAGGTAAATAGGGAGAGCACCAGCTAGAGCTTGAAAGTAAGTTATATGTATATCATATCACTATACTATATTCAATCATTACTATCTCGGTGGTCCAGTGGCCTCATCATAGACCTAAAACCATGATTAGTGATGATCCATGAGTCTATTTTCAGTTTGTCTCAAGATGGCAAACTTCAAGATGGCATATCCAAGAGTCAGATCTGGATTTCAGCCCAACATGAAGACTATCCAGTGCTATGTGTACTCAGACACTTATTGACACTATGGTAAGTTGATACAGCATTGTCCTAGATATTCCATATTGAAAGTGGGTTTTCTCAGTGAATTTTCTTTCTTACCAGGTGACAAGTTTCATAGGCAAGGTTCTTCGGTGCCAGTAGTTTAGGTACTTGTTCTGTGACTTATGAGGGTGTTGCTACCTCTTCTTGAAATTGACCAAGGCCTTAGGGAACTGGGTTGGCGGCTAGTAGGATGTGCCATTTTCACTTCACAATAGAGGACATTAAAGCATCAGGGCTCTGAATTTCCTCCTGATTCAAGGCCCAGCCATCTTTAATCACTGCTCTGTGAGCAATTTCCTCAGTGGGAGTCATAATCATAATGTCCTCAATGCAAAGGGACCTTTCAATACCTACCAGCAGCTCAAAGTGTGTTAAAGCATGTCTGACCCACTGATGAAATATTGCAGAATAATTCAAATAGATTTGTGAAAAGAGTGCTCAGAAATATTGCAGGCCTTACTACATGGAAGCCAATTGATCCTGATCTTTTTCTGGAAGAACACACACAAAAAATGTTGGCAATTCTAAGGCTTCATACCAGGTACCATAATGGCAGCAGTTTGTTCAGTCCCGGAGATGACATCAGCCCTTGGCTGTGCAGTAGTTCTTTTCCTGTTTCAACTTTGATATTCCACAGAAGGGGTTCAAGTATAAGTGATGTCCACTGTCAGTGGAATGGTTTCACACAGGGTCCCTGCCTTTATTACGTATTTTCTGAGAAGACCATATTTTCTGAGTACTTTTTCTCCTCTTTATGTAAGTATAGCGGGTACCTGGCAATGCACTACAAATATAATTATGGAATCTGTCAGCAGGAGTTATCAGATTGTGTCCAACTAGCAGTCTGCATGTTTGCACTAGGCCTACATAACCCAAAATGTTTATATCAAAGATAGCACTTATCAAATGACCATCAATCACAATCCATTCAAAGAATCCAGAACCCACCAAATAATTGGAGTCACCATCTCTTGGCCAAAAATAATGCCATTTCAAAATGCTGAAAGGGGAATTTGTTTATCAAGGTACTACCAAGCCCTAGGAATAACAGATATCTGAGCTCCCATAGAAACAAGCCCAGAATTGACTTGCAAACCCATCCCCTATTTTTTGTTTGTTTGTTTTGTGTGTTTCTGGTGTACATAAGATGGAGAACATAGTAAACAATCTGGCTTGGGGTAACAGGGAAGCAGACTTTATCTCTAATCTTCAAGTTAAATGGATTCATTGCCATGTATGAAAATATTCTATACCCAGAACAAAGGCACAGTGGGCTCCATTCAGCTTTTCTTTCTGAAGGGATAGCCCAGGTTGCCATTCCAGGGTGTCCACTGCACTGAGGCCTAAAGTAGAGGTTTCTCTTTCTCTTCTTAGAATTTAGAACTTTTCAAAAGTGATGAGAAGAATGCAGCAGATGAAGATTTAAGCAAGAATACCACCCTGCATGGTCCGCTGAGCTAGGTTATATTCCTGCCCTAAGAAATCACTACCAGCTTAGTGGCTTTATACAGAATTCATTCATCATCTCAGTTTTTGTAAGAAGGCCAGACACAGAGTTGCTCACCTAGTTCCACTGCTTTGGGTCTTACAAGATCCTAAAGTGTCCAGAGGGTGGCAGCTTCCAGGATTTCAGGTTGACGTGTGGATTCAGTCCCTGTGTGTTTGCTGGCAATCGGCCTGTGCATGCCTGCTCCTAGTGGTGTTAACACTGTGTCGGCAGATCCACCCATCACTTTAGAGTTACTTTGGTCCCACACAGCTTCTCCATCATCTAGGCCTGGGTATTTCAATTTAGCCAAATGACCTGCCATAGCCCAAGGCAGTGGGTAGGCCTAGAGAAGCCCAATATAAAAACATTTCCAGCCCCAGCCCCTCGCCGCCGGCTGCCGCTACTGCCGCTGCTGTACTGACGGCGGGGACCCGCGCCTCAGAGTTACTGATTTATTTTTGAGAACTTCAGGATGTTCAACTCACAGAGATCAAACCACTTCTAAATATAAGAATGGTACACGAAACTTCCAGGACTTGACTGTTGACTGTCAGGAACATGATATAGAAACTCCTCATGGTATGGTCCACGTCACTATAAGAGGCCTACCGAAGGAAACAGACCAGTTATTCTGACATATCATGACATTGGCCTCAATCATAAATCCTACTTCAATGCGTTCTTTAACTTTGAAGATATGCAAGAGATCACTCAGCAGTTTACTGTCTGTCATGTGGATGCCCCAGGCCAACAGGAAGGTACACCCTCTTTCCCAACAGGGTACCAGTACCCCACAATGGATGAGCTAGCTGAAATGCTTCCTCCTGTTCTTACTCACTTAAGTGTGAAAAGCATCATTGGGATTGGAGTTGGAGCTGGAGCTTACATCCTCAGCAAATTTGCACTCAGTTATCCAGAGCTTGTGGAAGGCCTTGTGCTCATTAACCTTGACCCTTGTGCTAAAGGCTGGATTGACTGGGCAGCTTCCAAAATCTCAGGCTTGACAACCAATGTTGTGGACATTATTTTGGCTCATCACTTTGGGCAGGAAGAGTTGCAAGCCAACCTGGACCTGATTCAAACCTATAGACTCCATATTGCCCAAGATATCAACCAAGAAAACCTACAGCTCTTCCTGTGTTCTTATAACGGACGCAGAGATCTGGAGATTGAAAGACCCATGCTGGGCCAAAATGATAACAAATCAAAGACTTTAAAGTGTTCCACTTTATTGGTGGTAGGGGACAGTTCACCCGAAGTTGAGGCTGTGGTTGAATGCAATTCTCGCCTGAATCCTATAAATACAACTTTGCTAAAGATGGCAGACTGTGGTGGACTGCCCCAAGTAGTTCAGCCCGGGAAGCTCACTGAGGCCTTCAAGTACTTTTTGCAGGGAATGGGATACATACCATCTGCCAGCATGACCCGGCCCATCCGATCACGAACCCACTCAACCTCAAGTATTATCGGCTCTGGAGAAAGTGCCTTCAGCCGATCTGTCACCAGCAATCAGTCAGATGGAACTCAAGAATCCTCTGAGTCCCCTGATGTTCTGGACAGACACCAGACCATGGAGGTGTCCTGCTAAGCAGATGCTCCTCCCCTGGACCATGCAAGTCCATCCTCCTCAAACGATCACTCCACAATAATAACATTTCATCCAGCAAACTGGCATCTATCTTTACTCCTGCATGACCACTGACTCTTTCTCTCTGGTACCCTGGATTTATCATTCTCTGCCTGCCCACGCCCCTTTTTATATTTACCAGGAACCACTTCCATGCCATTACTGTAACATTCCAACATCTTTAACTGATCAAATCTCCGTATCTTCTCTTGCCAGCTTTTCTCCATGCTTTCCCAACTACATATCTGATAAGATTCTTTAATCCTGACATATGTGTGTGAGCACACGTGTCTGTGTATGTGTGTGCGTAGATCTGTGGTTTTAGACATGCTTTCTTGTAGAACTTCTGCAAAACAAAAAAACAAAAAAGGGACTTTTTTTTTTTGCATGTTCAATGGTGTTTTTAGGGGAAATATACAGAACAGCTTTCTAGATGGGGTAGGTTACTACATTCTCTTTTGGTTCCAAATTGGTCAACAAGATTTGCAAGGTGACTTCTGAAGAGAGCAGCTCTGAGGAATGTGGAAGATCATAATCACTGTTTGGACTCGACTGATTGTGACCAATAGAAGGGAGCCTATTACATAGAGAAGCAGGCAGGGTGCCCAGCGACCTTCTCCTGTCCAAGTGAATTTTCATACACTATTCTATAAGTAAAGGGAGGGATATGTACTGTTGGAAGCCCATGAATAATGAGGTTCTGGTACAACATGGAGTAGTTCCCAGGGAGAGGGCGTGGCTTAATTATTGGACTCTATTAGAACAGGAAGGTTGAAAACAAAATGCCAGGCATTCACTCTGCTGGAGCAAAACTGTCTGATACTACTACCAGACATCTGCAAGAAATGCCTCCAGGTCTGTGATGGAGAGATGGAGAAACACTCTCCATCCTCCAAAAAGGGAAAGGTATGGCCTGAAAATTATGTAGGTGGTAAGGAAATGGCAGTGGGAAGAGGAACTGGCATTAACATAATATCCTATTTAATAAGTATAGCCTTTTTTGCAGCAAATTTAATGGAAGCTAAGTGAAGTTGAGATAGGACTCATTTCTCAGGAAGATTCTTAATTCTGTGAACTCTTTTGTAGGAGGGAAGGGGTCAGTCTGTAAGGGCAGCCTGTCCAGGTAACACTGTGTTCAGTCTACTACTGTGTGAGTATCGCTGGGTGGAAGGTGAAACCAGCTGCCACACAGCCAGGGCCCAGCTATTGAGAGCATCGAGATGAAAACACAGGGTGACACAATTCCAAATCTTAGGAAGGGGCTTTCTCGTCGTAGTATTTGCTTTCTGCCAAGATAGGGAATGCGCCACTCTGCCGGAGGACGCCTTTTTACAGATTATTAAAGCTGTATATGTCTCTTGTTAAAAAACAAAACAAAACATTTCCACTCTACAAAGCTGTAATACTGAGACTGTAACATGGAACTCCCTCTGGTGATACGTTCTCATGCGAGCACATGTGCAGAAAATAAAGCTATTTCCTTTTACCTCCAAATCCACTCTTAAATGCTCCTTTGTGATGCTGAGCAGGAACTCTCCAAAAGATTCTATTGATTGATTGAATGATTGATTGATTGAGGGCTCTCTGTCAGGATTTGAAGTAGCAGCAATAGACAGTGACTGGAAGAGAGGAGGAGGTTAAAGGGAGGTCACCCCCTTTTTTTTGTTTTGTGTGTCTGTCAGTGTTGCCATAGCAATTACCTTCCACCTTAGAAGTAGCATTTGACTCCAAGCTCCAGCTTCCTGCTGCCCTTCCAGAACCATCCTCATCACTACCCTTCAGAGGTACCAGCTGGTGTCCTCTCATCAACAGTCTGGGTGCCAGACATAGGCTCACAGGCCTCTCCTCCCACACTTCTGGATCTGGAGATGCCAACCTGCCTCCTTGGCTTCCCCCAGCCCTAGGGTTACCTGGAACTACTCCAGTGCTCCTTTCCTTCCTTTCAATCCTCTGACATGTCTAACCAATTACCAGTACAATAAAGAATTGTTTAATAATTAATATGGTTCCTGTTTTTCTGATTTAATCCCCCTTAACTTGCAATAGAGAGGTAAGATGCTACTGCCTTGGCTGGAACTCCTGCTGCCTTTCACAAGCAGGGTAAGTGCAGGACGTGGTGAAAAGATTTTGCCTGGCCATCCACCTAAGGTTTGTCATTCTTCATCACAACTGTGACTACTGCTTGCCTAAAGCAAATACATTTGTGTTTTTATTTTGCTTTTTCCATCACCATTTATCCACTCTATGCCTTCTTCCACCTCCACGCCCAATCATAGACTGCTGTCTATGTCCATGAGTCCTCTCTCTTTTTTTTGCTCAATCTCTCTACTCCCGCCCTACCCTCCCACCCTCCCCCTGAGCTGTGGGATCAACCTGTTCTCTATCTATGAGTCTGTCTCAATTTTGCTTGGTAGTTCATTTTGTTTATTAAATTCTACATATAAGTGAAATTATATGGTTTGTCTTTCTCTGACTGGCCTATTTCACTTAGAATAATGTTCTCCAGGTCCATCCATGCTATCACAAAGGGTATATTTTTCTTCTATTTTTATGGCAGAGTATACATTTGTGCTTTAATGAGTATCATGATACCTACAAAATCAATTGCACTGCAGATTTTTGACATATCCCAAAATAACACAAAAACAATATATTTCATAAATAACAGCTTTTGGTACTGTATTATAGTATCATTTTCATTATGGATAGATGAATTGGCAAATGACAAATTTATACTTCATTAAAATGGGGTCATCATCTAGGTTATTTACAAATTTAAAAGTTTTAGATGTGCACCTGTTTGCTACTAATAATTTCACATTTTAAATATATTCAGATACAAAATAAATGAGGTCAAATATTTTAAAAGAAAAACAGAGTGAAGTGGTTTTTTTTTCTGTACTCTGCAAATTTACATACAAAAGTTGCATTTATTGTTAGAGACTTTCTTTTTCAAATCTTTTATATTCCACTAAGTAAATTGTATGCTATTACAGAAAGTAATTTATCTGTTAAAATGCCACTTACTGACATTGTCTATTTCTAAAGTAATCATACAAGTAGTTTTGAATAAAAGCACTTCCAAGGGCAATTATTAATACTGAACATTTATCCATTTGGAATGACATTTTATTTTAAAGCACTGTGTAGAATGCAAGCATGGCCTTTAAGCTATTATTAACCATGTTGTAAATTACAAGTAATAAATTTTAATTATATCATATTTATGCAAAATAAGACAATTGAATATACATACAAATATCTTCATATTGTAAAAGAAGTCAGTCATTTAGAGCAATCTAAATTTCTCTTTATTTCATGAGATGTTAGAAATAAGAATGGAAATTTAAATTGTTTCTTTAGCATGCAAGGAAGATTTGTAAGTAATTATAATGAGCTTGGGTGAATTGCAACTTTGAATTTTTTACTCACAACAAAAATAAACACTACATACATATGCATGCGCACACACAAACACAGAAATAAAATTCACTTTCCTCTTCAATAATATCTCCTGTCACACATTTGATTATAAATCTCAAGAGAACTCAGTCACCCAGCACTATTATGAATAAAGAGAAGTATAGGTTAACTTCTTACCGGCTGAGAAAAGAAACACACACACACAAACACAGGTCTTTCACAAAGACATTCCTGTGTCTTAAAACTGAGGTGAAGCTCATTTAGCTTTAAAAAAAATTACATACATTTCACAGAGAGAAAAAAACGTGTAATTGCAAGTGTTTAAAAGTAAATAAGAAAAGGAAGGTGGTGATAGAATGGGTTGAGGGGGAGTCTCTTATTTCCAAATGGGAGAATTGTTTTTCTTTTTGTATTTTTCTCTTATAGTATCAGCATCAAGGCCATGAGTTGCTTATCCAAAAGCAAAGGCTGAATGATCAGATCATCAAAGATTTTCTGATTTGTGAGTATTCAGGGAAAAGACTGTGTTTTCAATAATCTATACTAATAAAAGGGTAATATGCTAATTAGACTGGGAGACCTTCCGGACAAAGCCAAGATGGCAGGGTTGAGGCAGAGGCGATTAGGGGTGATCAGGCCAGGAGGGGAGGGCAGTTGGGGGTGATTAGGCCAGCAAGGGGGCAGTTGGGGCAAGCAGGCCGACAAGGGGGCAGTTGGGGTGAGCAGACTAGCAGGGGGGCAGTTGGGGGCAATCAGGCCGGCAGGAGAGGTAGTTGGGGGTGGTCAGGCCATTGGGGGGATCAGACCAGAAGGTAGGGGTAGTTGGGTGCGATCAGGCTGGCAGGCAGGGTGGTTAGGGGCAATCAGGCAGGCAATCAGGTTAGTCGTTAGAAGCCAGTGGTCCTGGATTGCGAGAGGGAAGTCCGACTGCCGGTTTAGGCCCAATCCCACAGGGGTCAAGCCTAAACCAGCAGTTGGACATCCCCCGAGGGGTCCCAGATTGGAGAGGGTGCAGGCCAGGCTGAGGGACACCCTCCTCCCTGCCCCGTATGAATTTCATGCACTGGGCCACTAGTTAACTAATAATTATCTAATGGTAAAGTGGTCAAAGGTATAGAAATGATCTTCTGTATTCTACAGAATATTGTGTAAAGTTCCATTGTAAACATCTAACTTGGAGGGTGAAAAAGGACAGTATAAACTTAGAGAATTTCCCTAAATAACATTTAATAATTTTCCTCTCTTATAAAAGTGAAAACCACATTATCTTACTGTAAGAATCAGTTGGGCAAGACACTTTATTTTCAAGTGAGTTGGGTGCACATAACTTTATATTGGTTGGGATGATCTGTCCAGAGAAATATTGATTTATGTATTACTAAATTTTAAATCTCTAAGAAAGAGAGATTTCTTGATCCAGAATAACTTCAGATTTCTCATTCCTTTGACTTGCCATAGGGCTAATTGGACGAGTGAAAAGGAAGCCCCTAGTTTATATGAAAGAGTTATGGAGTTATTTAATAAAAGGCATGATGTTTAAGGAAACAAATGCTAGGGATGATTTTAAAACAGGAGGAAAATATAATATGTTTGGTGCTTGCTTAGTTTACAAGTAGTGAATAATGGAGGTCCTGCAACAGCCAAAATGACTTCATGGTATTTATCTCCTGCTCTCCCTAAAGCTCTCTTCTTTTGC